TCAACCAAACACGGATCTTATCAATAAATTATAGGTTGAAAAAAGTATAGGATTGAAAGGACAGAAACACCCCTAGTATGGCACAAATTATTTTTTACTCATGTCATACTTACAACTCATGCATGGTTAAAGAGCAAGATTATTCCCTCCTGGCAATAATAAGTTAAAATAAAATTTAAACCTTTGCTGAGATATCCATTTAAATGAACATTGTAATGCATTATCGCCATTCAAAGATGCACCTCATAAAAGGGTATCACCCACACCCAAACCACTAATCTTTTTAACAAAGACTGAAATGTCAACTATCAACAAACCAAAATTACCCATACTGCAAACCTAATGTACACATAAACCACAATCGAACAAGTAAAGTTCTCAAGTTATTTCTTTTGGAAAAATTAGTAAGAAAAAAGGATACATCAACAAATAAGGAAGAAAAGTGAATGAATTAACCATGAAGTAGCATGAAAGAAACCCTTGGGATAAAATGCTGAATAGGGCAAGTTTTAAGGTTAACCAAAACTTCCTGCCCTTATCCTCAAGGTACAATGTAGGATAATGCTGAAACCGATTCTGCTATGAAATGAGAAAAAAAAAAGAACTAAAGCAAAAACAGAATTGTCAATGTAAATTTTTTCTTGGAGGACCATGTAAGTTGGAAGATAAGGGATCTATAAAATGACGGAACCAGGATAGGATATGTGAAAATAACAGAGAAGAGTACCAACCATATGACTGAGAAAAAGAAGAAGAAAAGGTAAGCAAAGCATTGGCTAAAGATTCATATAATCTTGATTCTTGGGCTGGTTAATGCAACATATCAAAGACTATGTATCGCAGTAAAAGAACCTTCTGCAGGGACTATCAGTCCTGAACTCTCATTAAGGACCTCTGGTCAAAGCACTTAGAGTTAGAGGGCAAACAAATCTTAAATTAGAATGCTGACTAGCAGAATTGTTGTACTGTTCTCACATGAGAAATATGAAAAAAAAAATAGTAATACTGGAATATGGAGTACACATGAGCACAAAGCTAAGATTAAATGAAGAATACATAGAACAAATTTATTGAGGGAGAAAGGACTCAAACTACTCCTACTTACTGCTAACCTCGACCAGACAAAAATCAACCAGGAAAAATGGAAGATTCAATGTTACTCCATATTAAAAAACTGATGTTTGCATTCAATTAGTAATTAGAAAAGCACCATGCTCCCCACATACTCCTCTTCAGCAAACGGACTCCTTTTCATTCAAATGCCAGATCATACCCAGGATTTGTTCAGTTCTTTTTTCTTGAGAGAAAAGAAAAATATATTAAAAGGGCACCAATGAAATGCCACCGATGTATAAAAGAAAAGGCTAAACAGTGAAACACAAAATATCAACAAAGGTTCCAATATCCTCTCTAAGAAGGGATAGAGTGACCTCTAAACAAAAAACTTAAAATCCGAAATCAATGATCTCTAATATTAACTGAAGAAGAGACTTCATCTTCAAAAGCTCTATTATTTCTTTCTTTCCAAACAACTCACAATGTCCAATGGGGTATGCAAGATGGGACTCTTCCATTCCTCATCGACAAAAATGTCATTCTTGCTATTGAACTGCTTATCACAGGAAAAAAAAAACATGCACATATGAATAGACCGCAAGAGACAACTTTACCACTTGATACCTCGAGTCCCGAAAGCTTTTTGTTCAAAATACTCCTGGATTGTCTCCTGTCGGATGCTCAGAAGAGCGATTTCCCAACTCTCTATTCTCTCAATCCCTTCGTCGTTGCGTTTTCGGCACCCAGAGGCACTTACCCGAACTCCTCCTCGCTTCTTTCTTCTTCTGCTGGTGTGCCCTCGATTTCTCTCCTTCACTTCAATTTTTGCCACCCCGGGAAAACCCTAAATCCATATTTTCTCCATTCCCTCCTCTCTGCCCTGTCTCTCTTCGTCCGATTCTCGAAGAGGGCTTGCCCGCTCTCTCTCCCTCTCTCTCTCTCTCTCTCCGGGGCTTCAGTTGTGACTTGTCGATCAAGCCTACAGGAGGAATTTAAAAACCAGACCCTCAAAACGTCGCCGTTCGATGCCTCATTATCAGGCCAAGCTGAAGAGGCCCATTGGCCTCTGATAGGCCGACGTGATTCATTCTCTTTTTTTCTATTGGGCGGTGGCTGGGTTGGGTTTCATTTAAATAATTTTCACATATTATTAATATTATAAATTTTGGATATAATATGAATAGAATTGAATTAATTATATTATATATATATATATATATTCTAATTAAATTTTATATGTTGAATAATTAGTTATATTAATCCAATTTAAGTACCCATTGAATTTTATTTTTTAATTGTAGTAGTATTATACAAAAAAAAAAATGAAAAAATATTATCTGATAATTTTTGGTATCACTTTATATATATATGACTAATATTTTATAAATATACCATTTAATTATAAATTTTTTTGGTCATTCAAATAATAACTAATAGAATATTAGAAATTTATCATATTAGATTCTGAAAAATAACATTAAAAAACGTTGTGCAATATAAGTTATTATAGTTCATATGTGGTGAATATATAATAAAAATATATTCTTGACCAAATTATAAATTAGAAATATAAAATTATATTTAATTTTATATTACAATTATTGTATAGATTTTGTAATGTAAAATACATAATGTATTTAAATTGTTTTTAATTCTAAAATTGAATTTTTTTTTTTTTTTAAAAGGGTGGAGTTACCATAGAGTACCACCACGACAGCGTGGAAGCAGCTCTCTGACTCTCTGCTCTCTTTCCTCCTTAACAGGCCTACCCCTATCCTGCAGATCATCAATCTTTCCCTCCGTGTTCCAAGATCCTATCTCCTTCACTTTAATCAAGTCGAATCATATAAACTCTCTCGAGAAAATCAAAGCGAAAACGCCATAAAAGTACTTCGGAAAGTTTCTTTATTTTACATTGGGTGATACAAACAGCGGAACCGGGTTATCTCGTCTAGCTTCGGAGAGAACGACAAACAGCGAGAACAATGGCGGGAATAGCTTTAATCTTAGATATGTTAAGGAAAAACCCAAACTTTCATTCACAACAAAGCTTCCACTCTTCTGGGTTGTTCTCGGCCTCCTCCGCCGCATCCCTAGCCGCGGCTTCCGTTGCTGCTAGCGCCCCTTTTGCATCTAGGTTTCTCTTCGGGTATGTTCATAAATTCCCTATCTTTGTCTACAAACATTAATTGAATATATGTACGTTCTCTGTAGTAAGTTCTGATCAAAGAACAAAGTTATTGATTTGGAGATTATATAAGCAATATTGATGTTTTATTTGTTTGGTAATTTTGATTTAAGTTAAGCCTATATGCTATTTAGTTTAATTACTGTAGTGCGTTTTGACTGTTTGGTTTAGTTTATATGTGGAGTTTTGGTGGAGTTATCACCTTGAGTCTGGCTGTTTTAGTTGATTGAACATGTCTGGAAAACCAGTAGATATGGTATTGTTCTTTTAACGGGATTTTATCAGAAGAAGAAACTATGATTCTTTTTGCTCGAGTCCACCATCGATTGGCTGTCAAACATGAAAAGCTTTGATTAGGGGTTAGTTGTTTAATTGCAGAATTTGGTTGCAATTAGACCTTGTCTGGGTCACTCACTCTTGATATTGACTCGTGGAAGCTGGCATCATAAAATCATGGGTTGGCTGAGATGAGTAACTTGCTATTCGGTGCAGTATCGCACACTCTGGTCTTGTCTCGGATGACTGATAATTGGAGTGAAGATTGATTCTCTAAGATAAAAGGAACATTAGGACATTTTGCTTTTATATACACTAGCTTTCTTAAGCTGGTTTCTGGTTTCATCACCTTCTCCCTCTTCAGTCACCTAGTATAGCATATGCTTACTCATATTTTGGCCTTTCCTCCTTTCTTTTAGCATTCCGGATATGATAGCTAACACGATATGAGGTAAAACAACATTTTAAACAAAAGCTATGTGGTAAAATAATTATTGTTGTGAGATAAGATGAAAGGAGGAAAGCAAAAGGGAAAAATTTTCTATTCGAGAAAAGGAAAAAAAATGGAGATTGATCATGGTGGGTGGGTTTGTTTTGAGTTAGGGGCTGGAGGGAGAACTAGCCACTGTTGTTTCTCTTTGAAAGCTTATTGATGCACCAAATTATTGGCAATCTTTTGCGTATTCTGTAAAGAAGTAGTTAGCATCTGAAACAACAAAACAATGGCTTTGGTGTTGTTTGATTTTTGATAATTTGGAAGATTTTATGCCTGTTTGGCTCAGGTTTTACTTTGTATTGACTCTTCCTGTCATGCTACAGTTGTCCTAAAACACCAGTGGCTTATTGTGATGCTGGTGCAGCACTCACTGATGATTACATTTCTAATATACGGAGAGCATCAGGAGATATATTTCGGCATAATTCTCTCACATATACTACCAAAGAGTACAACATCGAGCTAAAGCCTCTGTTTTCAGCTTTTGAGTTTAAGACATTTGCTATGACAACCTTGAGGTCTTTCTTGATGTTCTATTTGCCTCTTCTGGAGCCTAATATGAGCACTGAAGAGGACGATGAAGATTTCCTGCAGGACACTCAAGACGGAAGGCATGTCGATTTGGTTGTTCCTTTCAAGAAATCAATGAAGCAAATTGTTCGTGAGGTAAGTTGCTTTCATCAGCCTACTTTTTGTTGCATGATAAACATTTAATTTTTATTCATGTGAAAAGGAAACCATTGTACATGTGAAATACCATTTTATCAGTTGTAATCTTATAAATATTGTTATCGATGTCCTTTCTGGTTCCCTTTCCTTTCAATCATGAAGTCCTATCTTCAATATAACTTTGTTGCCTCATTTTCTAACTATGGTGCTTGCTTAATTTATGAATCTTCCATAGAGTTGCACATGGTGCGATGGTCAGGTTCTCCTGGAACCACTCTTGTCCAAAATTATTTCCACAGTCCAAGTTGTCACCTAGATTTCTCCCTTTGCTAATCTCCTTGGTAGATGCTAGGTCACAGTTAAATTGGCACAAGGACTGAGTCTTTTTTTTCTAATCTATTGAAATAAATGAATTTAACAGATTACTGTTTCTTTTCCTTGATGTTCCTGAAATTTATTTATTTCAAGTTGCTCAATGATATCCAAGGTCAGTTAAGATCCAGTATGCTAATGTGTAAATAATAAATTGATTCTTTTTTATCAAATTAACATGACATCATAGTCAAAGATCTAATACTCAAATCTCAACTGAATTGTAGTCTCAAGTTAAGATGGGTCTGTACTTGAGGAATATAATGGATTAGGCTGAAGTACTTACATATGAGGAAATAATAAATTGGATCTTTTCGTTTTAGTTTAAAATTCTAGTATAATAAATCTCAAGGTTGTTTGAAATGAAATCCACAATTTCTCCGTTCTTGTAGTACCAATTTCATTCTATTTTCCAAAATTTCAAGACAACGTTAACTGAATTACAGTATGTGTACAACT